TGGAACATCCTGTATAAGATAAAAATCAGAATTAGATGTGAGAATGTGAATGTGCGTGGATGTTTAAGGATGACCTTCTTTAACGCTGGATTAATAGAATCCGCTTGATTGACTCGGCTCGATTTATCGGTCCTCGATGAATCGTGACGAGTAGCACGAGAGAAGTCGCTTGTTTAGCATGATGAATGCAACATTGCGTGATGAATGAATAATAAATGTTCGCTAATATGCGTTTTTGATAGAGGCTCTCGAATAGACGATTCTCCAATATGTCTCGAACGAGCAGATAGTGCGAATTGGTATTGGTGTACATGTGTGAGTGTGTGTGTATGGAAGATCATGAATACGCGTAATTTACCTGATGAATGAATAATAAATGTCGATCAATATCTGTTTTAATGATGGCGCTTTTTCCGGTCCTAAATGGGCGAGTACATCTGTCTTTTACGTCTGTGAGCCAATTCTTACTTTAGCAAGGATTAGTTTGGAATCACGTCGCCGAATATCGTATCGAGAGAAGAATATTCAATTTTTCTGTAGCGATGTGACGTATGCGATTGATTGACGGTTCGTCCATTCGTCGAAAAAAAAAAAAAATCAATATAAAAGTTATACAAAATATATCGATAATTAAATCATAATAATATAAATTATTATCAATTTTTAAATTTGATTTTTTTATCATGAATAAAATTCGCTCTCACTAAATTACGCAATTTCGTAGTGTTTTATAAACAACTTTGCCACGCGCGCGCGCGCGTGTATCATGCTATATTTTACGAAATCGATCGAGCACGAGATAAAGAGAATGTACGCGAAACACCGAGAAACTCTCCTGCGGCGGAGTTATTAATATCGATGCATGAATGTGATAACCCGATCAAGTGGTCATCTCGCGACCGATAAACGCAACTCGAACTACTAGAAGCGATATGATTCGCTCTCCCTGAGCGCTAACGGGACGCATGACTACTGCATTATGCTATCGATACCAGGGAGTATACGCCCTGGGAACGTGTCCTCTTCGCCTTTCAGTACAGATCCTCAGCGAGAGTACACACTGTGAGAGCATCAGGTGACTTCTGCTTCTGCAATTGGGAAATCGTGCTGATTCATCAATGTGCGAGCGCAATTATTTATTTCGCAACGAAATTACGGGAACCGAGAACACCCCCTTTTATCTCCCGACGATGTGTCTGATCTATTACGTTCAATTGACGCGAGTCAATTGGAAATACATATCTCGCATTCATTGCGTTAGCAATTTTTGCACGTCTTATAATTGTACGAAATTAACAAGGTTCGAATGTAGATTCAGTATACACGTATTACCGTTATAAATCAATCGATAAATTACAATACGCGTGTTGCGAGAGAGAAGGTGAAGCGATCTTCGTTAGATGTTAATGCAATAACGATATAAAAAAAAAAAAAAAAAAAAAAAAATCTTTCCGAATCTGTTGTCGAATCAAGGATTGCAAAAATGAAAGTAGTATGTACGTTACGTTATTTCCATCTGCAATCCTTGATTTGTGACAACGTAGTCGAGAAGATTTCTTTGCTTACAATTGCTCCAGATCTTGAGATGTGTCTGTAAATTCCAAAAGGATTGTCATTGATTGATCGTTGACATCCCTGGGTGGTGGATTACGAAATTCGTTGAAATTGCGACTGCAAAAGTGCCGAAATGATTGCTACACAATGATGTCTCGTATATCAGTGTAGGATGTAGCATGTACGATACGAGATTGACATAATAAGAAGGTTTGACGTTTCCAGCGTCAAATTATCGCGTCGAATATGAGTTGACTCTGGTGAACGTTAATGATGAATCATTCTTTGCATTTAAGAATATTGCGATGATTTATATCCACGTATGCACGCGTAATATGTGTTACGAGAGCGGAATATTATTTAGAGAAAGATATTGAATCGAATCGATAAAACGCGCGACGGATTGGAAAAATTAATGGCGGACGGTTAATTTCAAGGTAATAAATGTAATAATCGAGACATTAAACGTGAACGTAGCACTTTTGCGTATTATAAATTAATATATAAAATGTAATTAAAATTTTTTAATTAATTGTTAATTTGTCAGAGAGTTTGTTTCTTACTACATCTTACATTCCACAAACATATATTTTAATTATTATCAACTTTCTCTCTCTCTCTCTCTTTTAAATTTGAATTTTATTTTATTATTACCTGTAACATAAACTATTATCAACATAAAAATTATATAAATTACAGTATAAATAATTAAATATAATAATGATACACTCAGAGAAAAGTTCCTGCGGAACTTCATCGTGTGACAAACATCCACTTGTCATCTGCAAATTCCTATCCAACGTATCGTAAAATTTCTCCAGCCAAGCGATGCTTTTGCGTCTCGAAAGCGCGTTTCCTGAACCGCGGAAATTTCTTCAGGATCCATACGTTCTCTCACTTTCCATCGACTCCGGCGCCTTATATGAATGAAAGGAATCCATTAAATCATTAAGGAAAAAAAATCATGGCGCGCAAGAATGTCTGATAAACACGTGTGCGCGCTCGCGCGCGTATGCACACGTGCACGCGTGGCGGGCGCGGCGACAGAGCGAAAGAGAGAGAGAGAGAGAGAGAGAGAGAGCGAGAGAGAGCGAGAGAGAGAGAGAGAGAGAGATAATTTGCGAGAGCGAGAGAGCGCGACTCGGAGAGAACGGCTTGGGAGAAGAAGTCCGAGTCCGCGGATGGCCTCCTCGCATCTCACGTGTATGTGTGTGTGTGTATGTTGTGTGTGTGAGTGCGCGAACGCGTGCTGTGCGCGGGGCCAGTCGCCCTTGCCAAGGAGCCCGAGGCACGGGCGTGGGCCTTTCACTCCTGCCATCCGGATCGTTCCTCAACCATCGAGCCTACGGGAGGAGTAGTACACAATCGCTCTCCTGGACCTCTCGCTCACTTCTCGCCACGATTGCTCGTTCGTGGTGGCAAACTCGAGCTTGGCCGCGCCAAGCTTGTGTTCCGCGATCCGTGTCGGAGCGCAAATCTTGAGCAAACACTCCGAGCAAACACTCCTGCATTTTATATGATTAATTGAAAAAAATTAAGTAGAGACGATTTTGATTTCAATTTCGACAACGGCGTTAAATTCGATGTCCTGACGATTTATAATTTGGCAATAAAATTGAAGATAGCAATCTTTTACATTAATTTTTCTAAGAAAATGTGTAAAGCATCCAAGTCAAGTAAAAGGGGGTACAAATTTGTATATATGTAACATATAAAAGTTAAAGAAAGATGAAAAATTTTCTTAAACACTTAGAAATATTAAAATCTTTGTTTTTATTTCTATTTCCAGTTTTATCTTTTATAAAAAATAACGGAGATATTACAATTTGCTTTGGGTGTGAGGATTCCGAATACCGGGAATAGAAAAATTGTTCATAAAATATCAAAAATTATTTTAAACAGAAGAAGATACGCTCATGTATTGCATTAACTTTACTCTACTTGTTGATGGTTAAAACAAATCTAATTAAATCTACAATATTCTTATATATAAAGAAAAGTTGGGTAAAACCGGGTAGGCGGGTCAAACCGGGTACCCCTGTTTTTTCGTAATAAGTACTGCTATTTATGGCTAACTTGTGTTATTAATTGTAGATTGGCGTCATCATTATTTTAAAACAAACCGTGCCCCTGTGCATAAGATATTTCTTTTTTAATAGATGTTCAAAGTTTTTAGCCCAAAAAAAATCGATATCGAGGCAAGAATCGAGTCATCGTGCACTTTTTCTATATAGAGCATCTGTTTCGGTAAATGCAGCATTGCATTCTGTACATATTAGAAAGTATATCATATTAGTTTTGATTAGCACTTTGTACACCGGAATATACAATTGCCGTATTTGTTATTTTCCTTGTGTTGGGGCAAAACCGGGTACTTACATATCTCATGTAATGAAAAGAAGAAGAACTGTTATTCTACCTTTGTCTCTCTACAAAAAAAATTGGAAACAAAAACTAACACTCAGAAAAAGAAACTATTAAAAAAAAAGGTTTTTGAGACCCCTAAAGTTAAATAAGAAAGTTCTGCAACAATATCGAACAAGAAGATATCTTTATTTGTAATTTTTGTCAATAGAATACGTCTAAATATTGTATTTTGATTAAAATAAATTCAGATTTTGTAATTACACGGTGTTTTGCATATTTTCAAATGGGTACCCGGTTTGACCCTACCGGTAGGACAAAACCGGGTACTTTGACTTCTCTACATAATCTTGTTATTCTTGGTAACTAAAATTTTTTTTTCAGCTACTGGCCTTATTTTCTCATAGTTTAAGGTTCACTAAAGACTACTAACGGTCGGCAACATTTTTTTTATTCCCAGATTTTTTGTAGGAAGATAAATCCAAATAGATACCCGGTTTTACCCTACTTTCCCCTATACAATAAAATAATTTAACTTTTGCTATTTATAAATGAGCAAATATTTTTTATCGTAAAATATCTTTAATAGGGATTCGTTTAAATGCTTATACATTTGATTCATAAATGAAAACTTTTGAGATGCGTAAAATATGTAATTTAGCGTGAGATCCACGGAATTTATAATATTGAATTATTTGTTTGTTATACGCGACAAGAACCGAATTAAGAACCATACGATGTTCTGTAATGAAGAACTGTGATAAGAATATGATAAGAGTCAACTCATTGATGTCAGAGTTCGATTAGTTGTTTAAATGATTATAAATGCATCTTGAAAACCTAATGGCACGCATATGATTCGATATAATGTTATATATATATATAAATTGTATATAAAAATTTTTTATTACGTTCTTCAAGATTACAATTATTATACAAAGTACATTAATATTCAAAATTTATTTACTACGTAACTTATATTAACTTCAATTATCAGTTTCTTAAATTTAATCTCGCATCATCTTTAATTCTTCTATCTAATACACCTACACACATTAATTTTATTTACTCTCTATCTTACCTTATTGAAATCTCGGCTTAACATAAACTGTTGGATAGTATTCTGGGAATTGCAGCTATATCGTATGGATAAGCATTTGCCAATGCTTCATTTGGTACGTAGTGAGTATTTTCGAATCTAGAAAAATATTGTCCAATTTCTATATTGTTTATCCATTTTGGTGGACATATCGATACAAAGTCTAAAATAAAAAAAAGATGTATTTTATATTATACGAATGAAAGATCATAAAAGATATATAATTTATAAACGCGTACTACTCTAATATTTTACATACTTTGTGGCGCATAACATATTTTGTTATTATCAGCGAGAATTATATAGTGCGGTTGATTGCAAATTCTGTGCGTGCCAAATATTCCACATTTGCAGAAATAGGTATGCTTGTGTCCATTCAATTCACAAAAAAGCAGATTTGGCATCATGTCACAGAATGATTTTCTCATGAGCTTACGTTTACATTTAAAATGCCACCCAATTATCACGCCGTGATTATTTATTCTCGCAGCCGGCAAATATGCTTGCCCTAATCTATGTAAATATGAGTGCTTTACAATCATACCAACTGCAAATTTTATATTATTTTTTCTTCTGTTTGGTTGGTTCTTTCTTGGGATCTTAGCTTCCACCTATATATAAAAAATATAAAAACAGAATTTAAATGATATTTTGTCAATTAATTTCTGAATTAACTATTAGCATAACTTATGTTATAAATAATTTTAATAAATATGACTTATTTATGTGTCTAAATAAATGCGAAAAATTTTAGATGGTTCTTTGTCGAAAATTAAGAGAGGTCTTTCATATAAACATATATTTCTATATTCCTCCTTGAGGAGTTACACTCCTCCAAAGGGGAAGGTAACAATTAGGTTTTTAATTTTTTTTTTCAAATTTTGGACAAGTTAAAAAAATGAAATTTGGTGGACATTTTCCACTAATAAAAAAGATACTGATGGGTCAAACCGGGTTCCTCTGCTTCTTCGTGATAAGTGCTACTATTTTTGGCTAACTCGTGTCATTAATTGTAAATTGATGCCAACATTATTTTGAGATGAACCGTGTCCACGCGCACACAATATTTCTTTTTTGAGAGAAGTTCAAAATTGTGTGAAAAGTTGTAAACCCATGTGGAACCTCACTTCGCATTAAAAAGTGTATGCATAAAACAGTGGGTTGCGCCTCCCCTACGGAGGGGGGGGGGCTCCACTTCCGGAAGAAATAACCTAACCCAAACCTATTTCTAATTTAATTTCTCTTTATCTTTAAAATATAAGCTTGGTAATTCATGCCGACTGCCATATAAACAACATATAGTGAGTAACATACTAAGTAAGAATATCAAAAGAAATTAAAACAAATCAGTGTTTGGGAATATAATAAATATTTGTATATAACACGTATCTACATCACCAGTCTCAATATGTCATATAGTCGTGTATCAGTCAGTTAGATAATTTCGAGATTACCTTAATTTTCAATATGCATTTGTACGAATTTATCAATTTGACATACAATTTTGATTCTTTGTGAAATTTTTTGTGTGAAAAGAAAGTTGTTCGTGGCAAAATAACGTGTCTAAGATGTGAAAATGTATTAGTACTAAACACATTCAATAAATAATATTTTAGTTAATAAGTCTTTAATAAAAAACGAGCGACGGCTAAAATCTTCTGAAGGTCACTCAGGGACATTTTCCACTAATAAAAAAGATACTTAATAATATTTTTTTAATCTTTCTGTATCGTTATAAAGGGATGAAACTATCATCCCCTATTTAATTTTTTATTAGAACTTTTTAACGGGCTTGTGACGGGCCGGAATGTGATCATCTAAAAATATGCGTTGGAAAGCAGTTTGATTGCTTTAAAAACTTTTCTATTTCTTTAATTTTTTTCATAAAATCATAGGTCACTTTCTCTTTGGAGGAGTATAACTCCTCAAGGAGGGATATAGGAATATATGTTTATATGAAAGACCCCTCTTAATTTTTGACAAAGAATCATCTCCTAAAATTTTTTGCACTTATTTAGAAACATCCTGTATATATCTGCATCCCCTAAACGTCACTTTTACCCCGACCAGGGCTAAACCGGGTATTTTGACTTGTCCAAAAAATCTTGTTATTTTTGGTAACCAAATATTTTTTTTTCAGCAACTCATTTTCTTATAGTTTAAGATCCATTAAAGACTATTAACAGTCAGCAAAATTTTCTTTGTTTTCTGATTTTTTGTAGGAAGACAAATCTAAAAGGTACCCGGTTTTACTTTACTTTCCCCTATATATATATTTAAATATGTATGTATATAAAGTACATTATTGTAAATTATACCATTAAATTACATGTGACCCATCTATATAATGAATCCTGTTTAATATTTAAGCTTTTAACATCTATTTCTAAACTTTGTTTCAACAAGCGAGCGACCGGATTGCATATCCAATCCATAACTACATCACAATGATGTTTCAGTTCAAAGTAATTAATCAATGAATAAAAATCTAATGTCAATTGGAATTTCTGAAAAAAAAACAGGTATGTTAACAAAATTTTAACTACAGAAAAAAAAAAATTTATTACTTTTATTCATTGCTTATAAAATGAATTGACTCATTGAGAGTTAATATATTATTTAACATATTATTCACAAAATCTATAATTGATTGTTATTTTTATTAACTGCCACTAAAATTAATAAAAATTATATGTATATATAAAAAATTACAAAAATCAATAACATACCCATAAATGCCATAACTTATTTAATGGTTGCAGTGAAATCGCCCTGTATACGCTATATCTTCTTTTGACAATTTTTAACTTTAGAGATTCCAGATGCAAATAAAAATACTCTGCATTTTCCCAACTTTCTATATTACTAAAGATAATGAAAGAATATATATACATATGTACATACATATACGTATAGGCATAAGAATAAGTGTGTTTATTATAATCGATATTCATACTTTTTTTAGCATTTGCAAAGATTAATTAGAAATGGATTAAAAATGTTGTACATAAATCTATCTCAACTGAGAAACTGCATTTTCAAAAATTGTGGAAATTTTGACAGTAAAAGATCTTTTCTTTTTTAAAAAAATAAAAGAAGTTTAACATTTAAAAAAAATTATATAATTTTTTAAAAATGTATTGCATTTTTTTTATTTGTCCATATAAAATTATTTTGTCATATGGTTAACATAATGTTATCAAAAAATTAATAATTTTTATCAGTAAAATAGAATTTATAAAACATAAATTTTTTAAATTAAAATATTTGCTAAATTTAAAAAAAATAAATAATGAAGGCAATTAACTGATGATTACCTTTCCAGACAAGCGTAACATTGTATCAGAAACGTAAAATTGTAATATTTATTTTAATGTGCATGTATGCCTACAATCGCATGCAATTTTTTTATATAAATCAATGCATTCAATTTTTGTATCTAAAATCTATTAAGAGAAACTCTTGAAAAAGTATATAATTCATATAATGATATCAATAAAAAAATTTCATATCACAACATATCAAAATGAATTATCAAATATATCTACAACTATTGTTTTACTGAGTTTATTTAAATATGTGAATGTATTTATGTAAAATAAATTAAAAAATCATTTTTTATAAAAGAATTATATCTTTTGAAAACTTTAAAATGACTGATCTTTCATTGGGAAAAAGAATTTTTATCATCTGTTTGTATGTGTGTGTCTGTGTATCGCGCTATATTTTTGTTAAATGTTTAATATCGCATTTTTATGTATAATAATTAATATCATCAATTTATAACAAAGTATTTAAAAAAACCGTAAACAATTTTAATGTATAATATAATAAACAATATATATTATACATGCATATAGTATATATGAAAGTATATAAAAATAAAAACTAAAAAAATTGAAAACCTCTAAAGTTAAAATTATACTTACTATTTTGGTTTCCATGCAATTCCAAAACATTCCTTATTTATCAGAGCACAAAGTATACCGAGTCTTCTGGCTACGCTGTGATATATAGTAGTTAGTTGATATATATGAGCATCTAAAGAAATTGAAGTCTATACGGCGTAAATATATATATATTAGAAAAATTATATTGAACATTTATAAGATATGAAAGACATAGTTACGCTCGCACAACGCATAACCAAGTGTGATTATAACTTATTGTTAATATAATTTACAATAACTTACATAATATGACAATTTGTCTTCTAGGTCTAACGATATCCACAGTTTAAATAATTTATCTGTCTCCATTTCTTCAGAAAATATATATTGTTCAAGAATACACATTATTTGCTTCGCTTCTCTTGCATCCCAGAAATTGTCATCGATATTGTTGTCTCTCCAAAAGGAAAACTTCTCAGGGGACACAGAGAATATTGGATGAGTTGGATATTTAATTTTAAGGCGGCATAATACTTCTTGTGCAACTTCATCCAGCCATGTTTTTACAACCGAATGAGATATACGTGGACGAAAATATTGTGCGAGAATAATAAATAATTGTTCTGGAAGCTGTTTCTCCTTTGGCATATTTATAAATTTAAATAGCTTGTAGACAAGTCGATACTGTTTCAGGCAGTGGAAAACTAAATTGAAGTTATGTCCAAATGACAAACTGAAACCAGGTTGCCTGAAAAAAAAGTATATATTAACTGTATAATAATTACTTTAATTTATAATATTAATAGCAATTTAGTTTATTAAATATTACCATGGTGATTTTGCAGAAACAATTCTACAACACTCATCCGAAACAAAATAGTAAATTATGGAATTTTTAATTATGGAATGTAGAAAACATTTAAATTCATCTTCTTTATTATACCATAAATCATCATCGGATATCAGTGACGCATAATACTGTAGACTTTTCACACACTTTAAACCTATTTTTATTTGCTCTTGAAAATCTAAATAGCCAAAAATTTTCTTCTGTTTCGCTATGCTATACTTTTTTTTTGCAGATGGACACCTAAAATTAAAGCGGAAACTTATCAAAAATTATATTAAACAATAAATATCACCAATAAATATATTATGGCATATAATTTCTAAAGTACATATAAATTTTTCAAGTATACATGTACATATTAATATTTAGACCAAATTAAAAAAATTATAAATAATAACATGGATTTTTTTACATAAAATAGAAAAATATATATATAATTATTTCTTCCAACTATTATAATAACCACCAAATTATAATAACCAAATTATAATAACCACAACAATATTGAATAATTATGTGCACACATATATACAGTGTGTGTATTATCGAAATGCATTCGCTGCGATAATCTTGCAGCATTTAAATTTATCATTTTAAATAATTTTTGAATGAAAAGTCGAGTTTAGAATAAATATGTAGAAATATTTTGATTTTGCACGTGTCATTAAAAAAATCAGAAAAAAAATTTTAGAATAAAAAAAATTTGCTCAATCTTTACAATCTCTGAATGAATAAAATTGATTGCACTTAATGATGTAAAATTGTAGAAACCATGATGTTCGAACAAAAAATTTTAAGAAAGAAAAAAAATATTATTGTAAGTTTTCAAAGATATAATTATTTATAAATAAAATATTGTATAAATAAGGAAAATATTATATAAATATATATTTTTGTGGAAACAAACAGATGAATATAAAAAAGTGTTTTTATTTGAATAATTATATATATAATATATATATAGACATTTATACGTAATTGTATTACATATTGCAAGTTATAAGATTGAAAAATTGTAACAGTATTCTCCAGTTTGGCGTTTTTCAATGTGTGCGTATGTGCGTGTGTGCGTGCGTGCGTGCGTGCGTGCGTGCGTGCATACGTGTTTTACATTACCAAATAAACTTTTTTTTAAGCACAAAATTAAAATAATTTAAACTTATCAAATACTACTAAATACACCTGTAACAAGATTTTTTTTAGCTTTATTTTTAAAAATTTAAAATAATTTATGCGATAAAAACGATGTATTCTTAAACGTGCAATAACTAAAGACAATAATTAAAAACAAAATAATCCTTATGCTTTATAAATCGGTAATAAAGTTTAGATAAAAAGAAGAAAATTTAGAATCTGCTATAACAATGAATCACGAGTCGAGAGCAATAGAAAACTATCCTTATCATGTGATACGTAGCTTGATTCAGATATAGCTTATTGTGTTTTATCAGAAGAGAAAGTGAACTCTATACTGAATTATACTGAAATGTTCACTTATAGATAGATAAAAACAAACGAAACAAGGGAAATTTTTAATATTATGTTAAATAAAGGAAGAAATAAATCATATAGATAAACAGTGCCAATAGTTAGACGAAGAAGGGAGAGCACACTTGCTATCTATCTCTTTTTATCTGCCCCACGCTTCTCACAATGTACTAACATCCAACAAAAAAAATCTTAGGTTAGGAAGCTAAGAAAGCAACAGCTCTAATTTTTTTTTTATTATTGGTTTTTGCATTGATGTTTTGTCGGACAACAAAAATCGATTAAGTAAAATTAATATAAAGAACTTATAAATAAATAACAGTACCTTTGATAAAATTTTATTTCCCAAACATTGTTACTCTGTATATTCTGCCGGAATCTTTTACACGTGGAACTAAAACTCACGATGTCCTTAACGCTGATGTTGTTGTCTTCGAGAATGATAGTAATTATTTCGTCGGGCAAATGTGTTATCGTAGTCATCGTGGAAAAAAATTCAACGTTGCACGAAAGAGCTCGCGGGTAGTTATTTACGGATTAATAACGGATGTTATTTACTTGCGTATTACTAATTTAATATACTTCTATATATACGAATGTGAGCGCACAAGTTTACTGTAACTTCTGGTTAGTCACTAGACGATGTGCCTGCAACGAACACTGTCTTTTATATAATACCACAGACGCACTCTACCAGAAGTTACAGATGCTTCAAATGGTTTGACTGACCAGTCCTCTTAAACAAAAGGGACAAAAATTCCATTCTTCTGATTGGTCGTGAATAATAGATAGAGGCACGTCCGAAAAAGTTTTGAAGAAAATTTTCTAGACAGTTGCTTTCTAATGTAGTTGAGATTTATGGTTTTATGGGTATGTTTCAAAGTGATTTTGTTTAAATTGATGACCATTTCGATTATCAAATACCTATTTTATCTACTTGAAGGTTTGAATAAAATATCACGCGGTCGACAGCTTTCGAAAAGTTTTGTAAACTTTTTTTACAATATTTAAATTGCCAGTAAATAATAAAGTAATTATGTACATTAATGGATACCTCGCCGATAACCTTAATCTTCACATATGTTATAAGAGTGAGGTTACTGATTAATATTCACTTTGTTTTATTTGGCGGTCTAGTATAGTTTTTGAGATATTTGACGAAAAAGGTTTATTGAATAAAATGTAATATTTTCCGACACTATATACATTTAATAGAGCGTACCCTAAGCAGATTAATTTATTTACATATGGCGTGGTTAAATAAAATGCGTGGGCGAGAGAGAGGCTTCGCCTCTCTTTCTGTACCTCCACCCCGAAAAAATTTTAACCTAACTCAAATCTATTTCTGATTTCATATTAAAATTAGGTTTGGGTTATGTTTGATTTTTTTGGGGTGGGGGCGAGGAAGACGGACGAAGCCCCTCCCCCGCCTACACGTAAAATCATAACTTTTTGTATTTTTAAAATTATTTTTATGCAAAAACTTGTAAATCCATGTACAACTGTATAATTATAAACCTCGTTTCGCATCCGAAGCACAGGGCGATATGGGATGGACCTTGCTTCGCGCAGAAAGTTACAAACCCATGTGAAATCGTGCAATTATAAACTTTGTTTCGCGTCTGAAACACAGCAACCGGCAACCGGCAATCAGCAAACCTCACCCTTATAACATATATGAAGGTCAAGGTTATCAGCGAGATGTCCGTTAATGTAAATAATTACCAATAATAATTTTAAAATTATATTCCTTGTTTTTTTTTATCATTATCTCTCTAAACTTTTTGCTTCTGCAATATTTCTCTTACCTTCATAATAATGACTTTTATATATTCTATATTTTGCATTTATAAGACGTTTTAAAATTTCACATTTGTAAAATTTCTTAAAATGTTGCAGTTTAATTATACTATCTAATAATACTATCTAATAATACGAAATTCTTTTTATTTACAGAAGATTTAAATCTTTGATCACAATTTCTTAACTCTTAAGTACATATTAATAAATTATACACAGACATATATTTGCATTATGAATTTTTCTAACTGAATGTTTAACCAAAAGTATTCATTTTCATTATAATCTGGAAGATATAAAAAACTCAAGCATATTCCATATAAATATAAATAAAACTTAGAAAGATTGAAAAATATCTAAAATTAATATTACTTACAAATGCGGTTTCAACGCGATTCCAACATACTTTTCACGTTCTAATAGCAGGATATGCTGATTTTTCTGGCCTTTTATACTGTATATACAGGGTGTCCCAAAGCACCCTTGACAACGCTCGTGAGCAGGTAGAGCACAGTAAACTGAACAGAAAAGTCCTGTACCATTTTTTTCTATAACGCTTAATAAAGGAGTTATTATTGAGTAAAGTCTGGTCAATCAGCGCTGATTTTTAGACGGACGCACGTCAGTGAGCCGTCCGTCTGTTAGTGTACGTCGCCGTAGCGACGGAGAGCTCACGCACACTATCAGGCGCGCGGCTAAAGGTCGACGCTGATTGGCCAGACTTTACTCAATAATAATTCCTTTATTAAGCGTTATAGAAAAAAATGTTACAGGACTTTTCTGTTCAGTTTACTGTGCTCTACTTGCTCACGATCGTTGGCACAATCTTTACCGGACACTCTGTATAATTGATTACATATGTAATGCTTTATAAAATTGTAATAACCATCAAGTTTGTGAAGAATGTTTTATAAAAAAATGCAATTTTGTCGTCTTCCAGAATAATAACGACCACTTCGTCAGGCAAGCATGTTATCGTAGCCATCGTACAAAAAATTCAACGATTCATAAAAGAGTTCGCGATAGATGTTATTTGAATGATAGCCGAGGCGCAGAAAACAAAGTACGAGCGGTATACTTCTTTTCAATTTTTTTATTTGGCATCAGTGCGCGAACTTATATTATTATGCGCGAGCCTATTTATTGTTAAATTTTATTAACAAATGTGCATTAAAAATGTATACGTTTTGGACCATTTTTTGATCCATCTTCAGCATGGATTCAAACATATAAAGATTAAATTGAAATCTTAAAATTTGACATACACAATATTTGTTGTTGCAGTCAAATTTCAAATTAAAATTAATAATTTGCTTCGCGCAGAAAGTTACAAACCCATGTGAAATCGTGCAATTATAAACTTTGTTTCGCGTCTGAAACACAGCAACCGGCAATCAGCAAACCTCACCCTTATAACATATATGAAGGTCAAGGTTATCAGCGAGATGTCCGTTAATGTAAATAATTACCAATAATAATTTTAAAATTATATTCCTTGTTTTTTTTTATCATTATCTCTCTAAACTTTTTGCTTCTGCAATATTTCTCTTACCTTCATAATAATGACTTTTATATATTCTATATTTTGCATTTATAAGACGTTTTAAAATTTCACATTTGTAAAATTTCTTAAAATGTTGCAGTTTAATTATACTATCTAATAATACTATCTAATAATACGAAATTCTTTTTATTTACAGAAGATTTAAATCTTTGATCACAATTTCTTAACTCTTAAGTACATATTAATAAATTATACACAGACATATATTTGCATTATGAATTTTTCTAAACAATATTTGTTGTTGCAGTCAAATTTCAAATTAAAATTAATAATTAGAAAGGAAGGCTCACTAAATCCCGCACAGAATTTATAAATCAATGGACAACGTCCATTCGTCATTGCTATTGTATATCGTGGGTGGTTTATAACATAATGATGACCAATGTTAACCAGTCGGTACGGTCACAAAAACAACGGTCATAAAAATGGTCATTAATAAACAAAAACCGTGGAAGAAAGGCTATTAAGTTAATCTTTAAATCAAATTTATTTTAATTCGATTGGGAAACTTAAATTCAAATTTAAGTTTCCCAATCGATCAATTTTTGAATTTTTGGCAAGTTCTCTATTATAGAAGAAATACGGACAGGTCGCAAAACAAAGTCATAAAACTGAAAACGATGGGAGAAAGGCAAATGCGACAAGATTAATTAATTTCTAAATATAATCCTAATTTTTAAATTCAAATTCAAATTTAAATCTCCAAATCTATTAATTTATAAATTTGTGCAAGTTTTCCATTATAGTGGAAATACGTACAAGTCACATAAACAAGCCATAAAACAAAAATATAAAAACAAAAAAGATCGGAATAAAGCAAATTCGACAAGTTTAATTAATTTTTAAAATTTAACTCAGATTTTTAGATTTAAAATTATTGTCTAGAATTATTGTTTAAATCATTGTTTGTCGCGATATCAACAAGAATAATTTGAGTTTAGAACTTCTAGAAATTCAAATTGTCGACTAATATTTTATTCAAATCTCCAAATATCCTTTAAATGAGATAAGCAACTTGCTTAAAATACTTTTCAATCACTCGTTTATATTATTATATTTTAAAATTTTATATTTATAAAATAAGACGGACGAAGCCCCTCCCCCGCCTACACGTAAAATCATAACTTTTTGTATTTTTAAAATTATTTTTATGCAAAAACTTGTAAATCCATGTACAACTGTATAATTATAAACCTCGTTTCGCATCCGAAGCACAGGGCGATATGGGATGGACCTTGCTTCGCGCAGAAAGTTACAAACCCATGTGAAATCGTGCAATTATAAACTTTGTTTCGCGTCTGAAACACAGCAACCGGCAATCAGCAAACCTCACCCTTATAACATATATGAAGGTCAAGGTTATCAGCGAGATGTCCGTTAATGTAAATAATTACCAATAATAATTTTAAAATTATATTCCTTGTTTTTTTTTATCATTATCTCTCTAAACTTTTTGCTTCTGCAATATTTCTCTTACCTTCATAATAATGACTTTTATATATTCTATATTTTGCATTTATAAGACGTTTTAAAATTTCACATTTGTAAAATTTCTTAAAATGTTGCAGTTTAATTATACTATCTAATTACTTATTTATTTTTTTATGAAGATATTGCGGTATTTTGAACATCGAGATAGATTAGAGATAAGATTAAAATTACAATGTTAAGATCATATTATGAAAAATAAAATATATAAGAACATAAAATTTTGTCACGCACACGCGCGCGCAAATCACGTCCGTGCCATTAAATTTTCGTGGTTCATTTTAATAACTAAAAAATTAAATGATCAAATTCTAATTGTCGTTTAATTGACTTATTAGTAGAGATGTTTGAGGGAAAGAATATTTGCTCAATTGTAAATAACATTGTTTGTTTTTACATACATATGGAGCATGCTTGGGATTCTTATCTTTTCGAGACTATAATAAAAGAGAATAATTTTTCTTGCACATTTAATTAAGTTAGTCAGACAGATTTATAATTTATAAGTATCGATGTACCTCTTATTAATACGTTCTTAAGAGTTAAGAAATTATAATCAAAGATTTTGAAAAAATTATTATAAACAAAAATTTATATCTTCAGTAAACAGAAAGAATTAAAAATTTTTTTGTAAGTAAAAATTGTTATAGCCATAGAGAGACTGTACGATCATAGCGTAGATATCTCCTATTTCTAGCTTAAAATTATAAGAATATATAAAAATATAGTCATTAAACTAATTAGCAAACAATCGGAATTTGCACTATAGAACATTTTTTTCTTTCTCTCTCTCATTTCCTCTTACACAGTACAATAGTATTAAAATGCAATATTTAAAAAAATCTTATAAATATAAAATTTTAAGACGTCTCGTAAATGCAAAATATCAAAAAATTATTATATAAAAATAAAAAAAAATATATAAAAACAAAAAACCTAAAGAGACAAAATAGTGAAAACAAACGAAAAATGTTAATATAAAATTATTGTCCGATCTCAGCTAACAAGAGTTTACAAAATTTCTTAAATGCTATAACTCAATTACGTTACATTCTATTCAGATTAGCAAGTAAATAAGATAAATATCTGACAAAGCTTAAACGGCCTTCAATTCAAATAATATTAAAAGAAAGCTATTTTAGTCGAGAATCATAAATCTCTAAAATACTATAAAGCAATAATTGAGAAAGTATTTTCTAGAAAAATGTCAGACAATGCCTTCAACCGTTGCTCATATTGATAGAAAGAAGGAAGGAAAAATCTTTGTTCTTTTCGTTTGTTCTGATTGGTCATTGTTCATTGGTCATTGGTCAAAGTTAAAGCATGTAACTCGAAAAAAGACTCCACCTACGGTCTTAAACAACCGTAGATAAACTTTTAAGACAGTGCTTGTAGTAGACGCATTGCAGTAAGACCAAAAAAAGATATATCAAACTCTCGCGTTTATATTTGTATACATATAAATATAAAATAAAAATATATTTAATATTAATGGTATTAATGAAATTAGTGATACAAAGCTTTGAATAACATTTGTTGCAAGCTTTTTTGTGCATTGTTTAATTTTTTGCGATGGCTACATTAACGCGGTTGCCTCACGAGATGATTGTCCATATTCTGGAAAATGAGAGCATCAGTGCCGCAGATTTAATGAGATTTGGCTCTACATGCACAAAATTCCAACAACTGACACATGATAACAAATTGTGTGAAAAAAAATTTTATCGCAGGTATTTTATTTTTAAAAAGTTTTTATATTAATTTAACTTGGTTAATTTTGATAGCTCGTTGCGGAGTACCTCCGCAAACACTAGTCAACAAATAAAGTTAAAGTTATTGTGTTGTTCTTTGTTTTAATTTAAGTTATGCCTGATTCTTTTTACTGTATATTGAAACTGCTCCTGATGTTACAATTTAATACGATTTTAGTAAAAAATCAAGATACAGTAAACTTCGATCGAAATCTTCATATATCTAAAAACTCGACACGATAATCTATATCGATCAATTTCAATTTGCGCGCCTTTTGATAAAAATAGCTTGCTATTGCTCGTAGATAGTTACTCATTATTTTTATAGATTATAATTTTAACCTTTCTTTACCTAGATTTTATTATTAAATTATAAGCCTAAAGATTATCCTATTTTTTATTATTTTCTTTAGTTATATAACATGCTTAAAAATGTGTGCCTTTATTTAAATAAATTATTTTAAATTATTAAAAATATAGATTGCAAATAAATTTTTTACTGTTGTATTAGCAGGCTTTTTTATTTTTGTATTATTTTGATTTTGTCATTATAAAGAAGTTTATTTTAAAGTGTTAAACGTAAAGAATATAAAATTAAAGTGCTTTTATGGTCTTTTATATTTTAATTTTAAAATTTGCAATAATATGATTAAGTATAAATGTTGACTTATATAATAATATTCATATATTTTTCTTACATTTATTCGTTTCAAAATTGACTTATAAAATATTCTTTTTATCTTTTATAAATAATTATATCTGTTCAAACTTATGATGTAACCGTAGTTTTTTCTTATAATCTTTATGCCTTTTACAATTTTATAAAGCATTATGCAATCAGTTATATTTATTTGGATGTAAAGATTGTGTGAATATTTCTTTTAATTTTAAATTATTTTCAGTTTTTATTCTTATTTTAATAGCATGTTATTTCAATAGAATGATAAATATCCTTACACATTTAGTTTTTACTCGATTTCTCTCATTCAAATACGATTTAAAGTAAAAAACTTAAATGATGCGAGATTATCGCAGCAGATGCATCTCGATAATACATTGCGCATATATGTGTATCGTATACATTGTTGTCTATTACTATTATGATAATTATGATTTGGTTAAAAGAGTAAATCAAATCTTTGTTTTAAATAGAAGAATCTATATTGTTATTTATAAATTTTTTATTTATTTTGAATATATTAATTTATATGAAATTACGAAACTTATATGTACTTTAAAAAACATATTTTCTAAAATTTATTGCGCTGATATTTTGGCATTGTTTAATATAAATTTTGAAATTAATTTTCTTTTTTAATTTTAGCTGTCCTACTGCGGAAAAAAAGTATAATAAAGAAAAACAAAAGAAGATATTTCACCATATCAATTTCAAAGAAAAAATAGAAACAGGATTATATTGTATCCAAAAGTTACAATATTATGCGTTTGAGATGTCGGAAAATAACTTTCGTGATACTGACAAGGAACAATTGGAGCGTCTTCTGCGTTCAATTGCTGAAAATTCCATGACGTATTATTTTGTTTTGGATGAGATACATAAAATTTCTGCACAAAAATCATGGTGAAAAATTCAATAAACTAAATTGTTATTGACATTATTAATTAATGTAATTATTGTATAGTAAATATGTAAATTTTTTTAGCAAACTGTTTTTCAATTTGACACGTGAATATAACTTTAAACTGATTTATTGCTATCTGAAACAGTATCGACTTATACATAAGCAAGTAAAATTTATGAATTTGCCGAAGACAAAATCGCTTTTGGAGAAACAACTTACGATCGTGGCGCAATATTTTCAGCCACATGTGTCTTTTTCGGCTGTAAAAACGTGGTTAGATAATATAGCGGAGACAGTACTATCTCGTCTGAAAGATAAATATCCAGCTCATTCAATTTGCTCTGCGACTTTAGAGCAATTTTCTTTTTGGAGAGATAACAATATTGACGATAATTTCTGGAATGAAACAGAATCAAAGCAAATTATGTGTATTCTCGAAGAATATATATTTTCCGAGTTAGATATCCATAAATTGCATCAATTATTAATGACATCAAATCTCGAAGTTAAATATATAAAATATGTAAGTTATTTGAAATTATGTTACTTATAATAATAATCTGTTATGTGCTGCGCAAATATAGCTATAATTTTTATATCTTATAAATGTTCAACATATAATTTTTCTAATATAATTTAACATAGATTACAGGATGTTTTCGAAGATATCTATTGACTGTCACGTATCACATCGTAGCTCGAAGACTCGGTATACGTAGTGTTCTGGTACAATGCATTGGCACATGGAATACTATTGCTGTCATATGGAAACCAAAATAGTAAGTATAATTTTAATTTATTAAAACTTTTTCAATACTTCTGGATATATATATACACTTTTTTATAAAGATATTTCTATGATTATATGGTTACTTTGTCTTAAATTGATGAAACAAAAGATTGTGACATAAAAATATTTCCTTCTCGATTTAACAAAACGTTATGGCGTGCGTTATACACACACATACAGAAAAATAATCAAAATCTCTTTCTTTCGGTAAAAGATCAAAATCATCTTGAGATTTTAAATAGAATAACATCATTTCTTTTACAAAAAGCTTTTTCTATTTATTTTACACATAAACATATTCCTATCTAGATTTAAAAAAATTACGTTTATAAATTACATTTCACTGATAAAAATTATTGATTTTTTATAACTTTGTGTTAACATGTACGGAATGATAAAATGATTTTATATACAAAATAACAGACAGCAATTTATTTAAAAAAAATTTGTATGATTTTTTTTAAATTTGTTGGGCACCTATTTTTTATTTTATACTGAGAAATCTGCTGTTAAATCTTTTCGATAATTTTTAAAAATGTAGCTTGTTGCGGAGTTGATATTTTTGCACAATATTATTCATCAGTCTATTGCAGATGCTAGAGAAATCATGAGTTTTAATTACAATGAAAATTTTTTTATGTATTTAAACGCATATATGTATATGTATAAATAAATGTTTTTTTCTTATTTTCAGTAATACAAGCAATTGGGATAATGCAGTGTACTTTTATATGAGCCTGAACTCCAATCTACTCTATCCATCGAACATTATCAGAGAGAGATACCAGAATAATGAACATTCTTTAATATTCACTTCATTCAGTGATATTTCGGTTGGTAATTTTTTATTTTTAATTTTTTATATTAATTCTAAGTAGTTAATAAGAACAACAATCAATTATAAGTCTTGTAAATAACACGTTAATTCGATGAATCTCAATACATTTTAAATCAATAAGTGAAAATAATGAACTTTAATTTGTTTTTTTTGTGTATAATCAAAATCTTTTTTACATGTCTGTTTTTTTCAGATAACACCTAACTTGATGATGTGTTTATATCGAGAAGTAGAATTTAATCATAAAATATATTGCGAGTGGAACTTTAAGATCTATTTGAATTTTCTATGGCAATGCATTATAAAAGATGTTGAGAACATAAATATTGAAATTGAATACAAAAATATTACGAATACAATAGAGGTAGGTTATAATACATCATATAATATAATTTAATATATTTATATATCACAAGATATGTATTAAATTTTGTTATTACGTTTCCACAGGTTACATCTAACACAGTAAAGAGACTATTAAAAAGGAGGACAAAAGAAGTTAAATTTGCCGTTGGCATGATCGTAACGCATATTTGCAAAGATTATTTCTTTCCTAATAATCATGACGGCGTAATCATTGGGTGGGATTATAAATGTTCGTATGACATAATGGTCATGGACAAATTAAAGGTGACCGTTATGTTCCCATATCTACGTCAATGCTTTGAATGTTATCACTTTTGCATATGTCAACAATTTTCAGCCAGTGCCCATCAAGTGCACTACATCATTCTCACCGAGAATAATAAAATATGTTATGTGCAACAAGGTATGATTATTAATAGCATTCTTATAAATGACATATATGTTTTATGATCTTTTATTTGTACAATGTAATATATATTAATTTTAGATCAACTATCGATTTGTCTACCAAAAGAAATCGATAACATAGAAATTGGAAGATACTTTTCCAGCTTCGAAGGCACTTATTACGTACCGAATAAAAGCTTAAGAAAACATTATCCAAAAGATACCGCTGCAATAGCCGAAATACTTGCCAAACAATAGTTTTTATTATCTTAAAATGTACAATTTGGGTAAATATGCATAAAAGGTTAATATTATAAGAGAACTATTTTGGAGATTTATTTAAACTTTCACATCAATGAATCGTCTCGAGTTTCCATAACACTTCTTGCAATAACATATTTCTCGACTTAGCTCTAATTATGAACGACATATGTATATATTTAGATATAGGATATGATTTTATAAATTTTGTAAATCTTTTACATTGTAGAAAAAATACTTTCTGTTGTAGATTTGAGATAAATTTAAGAAAAATAAAGATTTATATTGCATAGAAATATGTGTATAATTTATTAATATGTACTTAAAAATTATAAAATAGAAATGCAAGGTTTTGAAAGGATTATTGTAAATAAATTATTTTGTAATAATAAATTTTTGGAAAAAAGTTTTTAGATAATATCTTTTTAATGTTTTTGAGATTTATGGGTTTATGGCTTTATTCCAATGTTATTTTGTCTAAATTGTGTGTGACGGCTTCTTCGGGTAGATACTTATCTTACTTACTTGAAGGTTTCAATAGGATGTTACGCGGTTTTTTAAACTCTTGTTACCAGAGAACGGCAGTAGACAATGGCTGCGTTCCGATATTCACTGCCAATATTGAAAATCTGTACTTTACATCACGTGCACTACAGATTTTCAATACTGACAGTGAATATGGGAACGCAGCTAATATATTTGAATTTACATTTTTTGTTTGTTTTTCCTTTCCTTTCTTTTTACTTTTTTTTTGTTTGTACAATTTTTTTTATCTTCATATAAATCGACTTTTCGAAATAATGCATTTACAAGTTTTATAATTTTATATAGGGGAAAGTTGGGTAAAACTGGGTAGGCGGGTCAAACCGGGTACCCCGGCTTTTTCATAATAAGTGCTGCTATCTATGGCTAACTTGCTATTAGTTGTAGATTGGTGCCATCATTATTTTAAAACAAACCGTGCACCTGTGAACACAATATTTCTTTTTTAATAGAAGTTCAAAGCTTTTAGCCCCAAAAAGATCGATATCGAAGCAAGAATCGAGTTGTCGTGCACTTTTCCTATCCAGCGCATCCGTTTCGGTAAGTGCAGCATTGCATTCTGTACACTGAAAAAAAAAATTGTTAACTTGACTAAAACCGTTCAATTAATTACCATTTCTTTAATTGAAATATTTATATATTTAAGTCAAATATATGTCATGTTACATTTAATATGTCGTATTTAACTTAAATATATAAATATTTCAATTAAAGAAAATGATAATTAGTTGAACGGATTTAGTCAAGTCAACAATGTTTTTTTTTCAATGCACATGCACAAATAATGAAAAATTTTATTCTTTCTCTCTGTATTATTTATTTAATATATTTAATATATAAATAATTTTTCCAATTATATAGAGTCTTAACA